TTAAGTCGGGCGAACGAGTTGCCCAATGTACTGCTCCTCCACGTCCAATCCATCGTTGTGGGAATTTTCTATCTAACCAGGTTCTAGCGACTCTGCTGTAATGAGCAGGGCATCCATCTAATTGAAACCACATTTCAGTACGTTGTTGTAATGGGATGTTTTCTAAATAGTCAGAAAATTCATTCTCCAAGAAATTTAGAAAACGGTCCCCATTTAATCTTGCAGGTAAAAAAAACATTTTTTTTCGATTTCTCTGAAACGGAGCAAAAACGAGCATATGTCTATAGGACTTTTTTTCTTAGTTTTTTACTCCTCTACACGCTCCCGAAGTTTTGCCATTTAATTTGGAAACACCCTGTATATATATATATATATATAATTTGATTTCTGTTGCACTCATATCTGTTACTTGATATAGTAAGAAATACTATAAAGCAATAAAAATGTACAGCAGTGCAGTTGCTATTGCACAATCTACCAGCTGATGGTACAATGAACATTTGTACGATCAGTCGTGAATTTGTGCAATGGAATTTTTATGATGTATTACAATAATAGATAAATGATTGTTATCTAAGTCATCGCTATATCTTTATGTCTATATATCTTTATGCCCCAGTCGAATTTCAATAAATTATTCGGATCTACAATTCCATGTTTGAGAAACGTTTCTCTAAATGTATAATTTTACATTTTTCAACAATAAAGCATGTGTTTCGGAATCTGGTCCTTTTCTTTCGTGAAAGAAACAGATGCATACCTGTGAGTACTTTCCATCGACGATGTCCTTCTGTCTGTTGAGGAACCAATCGGGAATTTTGTATTGCCTGGGATTGGCCATAATAGTGACAATTTTTTCAACCTAAAAGGATTTTGATATAGTATTGTTAAGTTGTTTCACAAATATAAAACGGCTAAACTTACTTCCTCTTCCGAGCATTCTCCAGCTCGCTTGTCCAAGTCAATGTCCGCCTTCTTCAAAACGATGTTGGCATAACGCCGACCAACACCTTTGATCGCAGTCATAGCAAACATAACTTTCCTGTTGCCGTCAATGTTCGTGCCCATGACACGAAGAATGTGCTGGAACTTCTCAGGAATCACGAGCGACTGGAAAACAGGAGCGTGCCATCACGATTATGTATACACGCGAAACTAACCTCAATCACGAAGCGCGACAAATCGTAAACAGTTGGACGAATTTTTGTCTGGCGCGTAACTATTGAATGGAAATCGTTGAATCTTTGCGACCATCGCAAAATATCATGAAGCACGCTCGACCACCAAAAAAACCTGAAGTCGCGAAATATGCCGGCGATGTATTTAACCTCCAAACGGCTGGTCATTTTTTCCACGATATTCGTTAAAATATTTCGGAAACAAATTCGAAAACAATGAATTTATCATTCTCTTTAAGTGTTTGATGCATATCACACAAGATTTCTCCGAAAAAAATGGATTTCAGAAGGAATTCGCACAACACTCACCATCTTAGCGTACAGCTTGACACCAAAAGACGGAAATCGGCATGGTATAAAGACAAAGGCAGAGAGGAACTACTAACTAGTGATGCCGGATTTCGATTCGATGC